GGGGAGGGGAAAGGGCGGTGGGCTTCCAAGGATCGGACCCGGAGCGAAGGAGGGGGGACAGCCGGGACACCCAGGTAGAGACCCCCGCCCGCCCGCCCGGATTTACACGCCCACCTGGAGCCTGGCCGACCGAAGCGCGCCTCCGCCTCCGCCACTTCTGCCTCCCCGGGAGAGCCGGGACTGGGCCGCTCCGACGGAGCCGGGACCGGATCGGGCAAGGGCGCCGTTCTGGCCCGACCGAGCCGCCACTCACCTGATCGGCTCGGCCAGCCGGGCCGCCGGAGCTTCCGCAGGGAGGAGTCCCGCCGGACCGCGCCCCCCCCCCCCCGCGCCTCCCCCGACGGGCCAGCAGGTGCCTCCCTTCCGGGCCGGGCGGTGCCGTGCAGCGGGGCGCAGCTGGAGGAGAGCCTGGCCCGCTGCCCCCGGGGGAGCGTCGTCGTCGCGGCGGCGGCGGCTCCGGTCCTTGGAAGCCGGGCTGGGGCTGGGGACCGGCAACGGGGCGCATCTGAGCCCCCTACCCGGGTCTGCGGAGGGTGGTGGGAAAGAGAGAGAGAGAGAGAGAGAAAAGCTGACTTAGATCGGGATTCCCCTCCACCCGAGAAGGGAAACATCTGGAAGAGTTTCTTTCAAGCTGGGTAACTTTGAGATGGGTGGGACTCCGACTCCCAGAATTCCCCAGCCAGCAGGCTTTGAGATAGATGGACTCCAACTCCCAGAATTCCCCAGCCAGAAGGCTTTGAGATAGATGGACTCCACCTCCCAGAATCCTCCAGCCAGAAGGCTTTGAGGTGGGTGGACTCCAACTCCCAGAATTTCCCAGGCAGAAGGCTTTGAGATGGGTGGACTCCCACTCCCAGAATTCCCCTCCCAGAAGGCTTTGAGATGGGTGGGACTTTAACTCCCAGAATTCCCCTCCCAGCAGGCTTTGAGATGGGTGGACTCCGACTCCCAGAATTCCTCAGTCAGAAGGCTTTGAAATGGGTGGACTTCAACTCCCAGAATCCCCCAGCCAGAAGGCTTTGAG